TTGATTTCTACTATACATGGCGACATACATTGCTGAGAACAACAATTAGGGGATTATTTTCTTTTAAAGAAATCTAATAAATGGACCCAAATACCATCGCATACCGAGAAGCTGAAAATACTGTTTCAAAGAGAACTAATTGTAAGATATGTATTATTATTACTATTGACCTATAAAATGCCGTAACTCTCGGCACATGAGAAAAAGAAATAATCCCCTAGTGTGTAATAAATTGTGAACTTGATTATAAGACTTAATTAAAAATAAACTGCTCGTAACTTATAATTAAGCCTTATAACCAAGACGTATTTATTGTTAGTTTTTAAGATTTAGTTCTTAAATTATCCCTAGTGTACAATACACACGTACATATCATACATACGTCAGTGTTACACCAGAGCACGCAGAGTGTGCCGCACATATGTATATTCGTTTCTCACAAAATGAGAACATAATTATAGGAAATTTGTGTATTGAATAGAAATATACAAAAAAAATGATACCTTACGAGAAATATCTATAATCAATTATCATTATAATATAATATTAATATTATATAATAATAATCAATAATATTAATATAATAATAGTCATATGTAGAAACTTAATAATATTAATAGTAATATTAAACAAGCGAAATGCGCCTCGATGTTTCGCATCATCAATCAGCTCAACTTTCCTATAAGTAAGTCGTTTCTATAGTCTCTAAAAAATTTGCGAATATCGGAAGATTATACTAATTGTAAGAACGCTCTGACATATCTGGTACATTCTCTTTCTTTTACCAATTCTCTCTGGGGGGAAGCACAGAGACGAACGAAATTTTTTTTAAATCAATTTTTTTTTTTTTTTTTTTGATATGCTTCGATAGATCTGCTATGTTCGTCATAATATCGGAGCAAACTCTCCTAATTCAAACGCAAGAATTAGATTATTATTTAAAAATTAATAAAACCGCAGCAAATGTTTGATATGTTTAAATTTGATTAAATCTTATTTCTCTAGATAATAGAAAAATAAAGAATACGCTGCGGTTTTAAGACCAATTAAGAAACCAAAAAAATTGTGTCCAATCTACTCATATTGGATCATCAATAAGTGACAATGCTCACATAATGAGCAGAAAAAAAATTTGCACGCAACGTTTAACCAAAGTTGCTATAAGATGCCATTTCTTTCCCTTCTTCCTCCTGTTTTTTTTTCTTCCCCTGTCTCTCACTCTCTCTCTCTCTCTCTCTCTCTCTCTCTCTATCTATCTTCTGCTTTTTGCATAACTTATCATTTGTTCGCTTTTACATGAGATCTTTACATCTAAATATACAACGTCATTACAAGCTGATTAAACCGACGGGCGAACCGGAAAAATTTGAAAAAGATGAAGAAGATAATTAGTACAATTTTTTTCTTAATTATTTATATGCCAATATAGAAAACAAATAGTACACTTATATTATTTCGATGACAATTCTTGCTCTCTTCCTTTCTCTCTCTCTCTCTCGTTCTTTCTCTTCGTCTTTCATTCTCATTCTATCTCTCAAAAAATTACATCTCTCAAGAAAAATGAGAGATCATAGCGCACAAAAAATGTAAAGTCGCAACACACGTGAATTGCAATGTCATATACGAATTACAATTGTGACAGTACATCGTTTCGCCCGCTCGGAACGCTCTTCCGCTAACTTTAGTTAATATTATTATTATTACTATTATTATTTACTATTATTACTATTATTATTATTATTCATAATAGTAATCATTATATATAATCGTCATTATTATAATAGTTATTATTATTATTGCATTGGCTCTTTTATTTTTTCCCATTTATATTCATCGTTAAATTCCTGAACTCTGAGGTAGTCTGTTCCGGGTGTGACATTACGTAGTAAAAATGGCAAGAGGGCTATATTATTACATCGTTTACCGTGTGTTACCGTGTATTATACGCTATACGTAATCGACATTACTTACGTGTGTATGTGTTGTCTGTGTATTGATATTATTCTTTTTTCTCCCTTTCTCTCTCTCTCTCTATCTCTCTCCAATATAAATAAACAGAGCTTAGGGAAAAATATCGTGTGTTTACGCTTTCGGTGTCTGATGTATGTGTTGATATATATATATATATATATTGTGGGCGATTTTCTGTGCGGATCTTCTGAAAAGACTATAGCTTTATATTCGTGCATTATTTTATATACAGAATATACCTAAAATATATCATTTTATTTTGTGGACCAAAAAATTACTGCGAAATAATGCGGCATTTTCGAGCGACCGCATATATATCTACACGCATATCTTAGAAACTTAAAAGATTTAGTCACATTTGTGTTTGTCAGGATCCTTTGCCTCTTCGGCTTTGCGGTACTTTACAAAAATTAAATTCATCGAGATATTACTTTAGAAATATTCCACATATATCTGATATTTATTGGTAATAATAAAAAAAAAAAAAATAAACCGGTACGTTGAAGAAGCAAACGATGCTAAACGTGTATAAATCTTGTAAGTTTCTTAAGATACTGCATTATTTTGTAATTTTGAATCAAAAGAACTTAATCTAATCACTTTTAAAAATTATCAACATTTTGATTTTTTTTTCAATTACAAATACTCGTCTAACGGAGACATGAATCTTCATGAAACAAATATAAGTCTTTCAAATACAATTTAAAATATGTACAAGTATATTGTGAACAGATCTCGTTCACAATAAAACAATCATTGCTCATTTCATTTTCATTGCTTTCATTTAATCAACTTATTGGATTATCATATCTATTTACAATATATACAAATTTAAAATTTCAAAAATTTATGGATCAAATTTTTTTTTTTTTACGAAGTTTAGAAAACGAAACTTAAAAACATATGAGAACTTTTTTTTTAAGATTTTGCGCGTGATGTACATATTTATCTACAATTAAGTTTTAATTTTAAAATATATCAATTTAAGACAACTTAAAATTTTATTGCTAATTAAAAATAGTAAAATTATTTTTTTTTTTAATATAACTTACGAAATAAGAGCGGCTGTCATAAAAATTTAGATTTATCCACATGTGTTATATTACACAATATATCCTATATAAAACAATGCACAGATACAAACATATAGTCTATAACTCGATATTTGATAATCTAATAATCTAATTCAGCATTTTTAAGCGATAATAAATAAAGTACGAATAAAATACGAATTAAGTTCATTACAACAACGCGCAAACTATATCTTAGATGAATTTAAATAAACAAATAAGGCACTATTGTGAAAATCATTGATCGCAATAATTTATATTGAAGGGAATGTAAAATATGCTTTTTACTCTGATTGGCAGAGAATTATCTTCAGTCCAACTCCCATCAGCGAATTTGTCTTTGAACCACGCTTCGTTCGCAAATACACATTATAGATAAACGTTCACCTTACTATAGCGAAATAGAAGGTTATTATTTTCGTCAGTCCTTATTTCGCTCGAACCAAAACGTGTACATAATATTTCGAATTTATTTAATTGTATTTAGTCCTACATGAAAATAAATGAACAACGCTCAATTGTCATTTGTAACTTTTATCAATAAGAGTTAAATTGTTTATTATTAATAGATTACAATTTATTTATTAAATATTGATGAGCTAATAATTCATTAGCGGTATCGTTAACTCTTATTTTATATATTCTCGCTATTGAAAATCAATGTTTTAATAAAATTGTAAAATTAATGTCAGTACAGGCCAACTAAAGAGCATAAAATTATTCGCGGATGTTAATAAATGTTAAAAATTTTTATTTTAAAACCATCATAACAATAATTCATTAAATTACAAATGTTTTAACTGTACGCAGTCTTCTTCAGTGAACTAATATAATATTAATCAATTATAAAATTAAAAAATTTTATGCTCTTTAGTTGGCCTGTACTGACATTAATTTTACAATTTTATTTCAATATATAAGAGCGTTATAATTTTTACAAATTTATTATTTCAATGTTTTAATCATTTTCGTAGCTTGAATTGTGCCGAATCTTGATATATAGTATTAGTTAACCGATGCCTGATTAATTATTATAAGAAATAGTTAATCACCGCAGCAGAAATCTAATAAAAATTTTATCTAAAATAAAAAACAATATTTACATTCCCTTTGATATGCCAATTATTGATCAATGCTGGATATACTTTCACAATAGTTTCTCATTTGTTTATATTCTGCATACATATATATAATTTGAAAGGAATTTTTCATCCTTTATAAAACATAAACACAAAAAAGAAAGACATAATATAAGTGAGTATAAATATTTTAAAATTTACGAGAAGACCACCTATTTTGAGAACAAAAATTATTGTAAGAAATTTTTTTATAGAAATGACAGAAAATAAACTTTTACTTCTTTAGCATATACTATTTTCATATAGTTTTAGTTAAATTGTATCATTATTCATCACATTTCGCAATATATTATTATGCTTAATCTTTTGTTTCATGTAAATAAAATAGCAATAAAACTTTTTTTAATATAATAATATTATATATTATATTACAGTATATAATTTTATTATTACATAATAATTATTACTCAATATAATTATATTATTACCAACATCATCTGAAAAATTTATTGCTAATCTGTTTACATGCACAATGGTGGTATCTTGTAACAAATATTGTAATATTTACCAAGAGAAAGAGAGAGAGAAAAAGAGAAAGGGAGAAAAGAAGAGAGTGAGAACAAGAAAGAAAGAGAGAAAGAAAAGAAGTATAATAATAAATTATGAAATGTGTGATAAAAATGAGAGCAAATTTCGATGATTTTGGAAATGAATATATATATATATATATATATATATATATATATATATATATACACACATGTATATGAAGGAACATATAGGAAATAAAGCGTAGTTGTAAATGCATAATTATATACATATATATATATATATATATATATATATATATATATATATATATATATATATAAAACTGCATATATATTTATGATACTAAAAATATATAAAAAGTATAAAAAAAGTCGAACAACTTTGCGCTTTAACGCTAAATGGCCTTTGTCCTATGATTGTAAAGTTTATATCTTTAAGAACTATTATTTATGTTATTATATAATTGTAATAATTATAATACACACTTTTTATATATATTTAATACTTTGTACAATATTTTAAGCTTTGAGAACTTGATATAACGTCATGATCTTAATTTCCGATCACTTATTGCCAATTTGAAAATGCGACGCTTACAACTTTCTCGAGATCATCGTCAGAAACGGTAACGGAATTTAAAGTTGCGATCTGTTGAGAACCGACGCGATGAAAGTAATAAGAAGGAAAAGAGAAAGATCCTTGCATCATTTCTTTTCGGTACGAATATCGCAACGACTCCGATCAAGATACCGTCGTGAAAGTTCCGCAGATATATCGATTCGTTTTTTGTATCACGTATTGAAAAAAAGAAGCACAATAATTTCGATACATCGTAAGACCCGTTTTGTCTCGATTACTTTCCATCAAATTACTTTTAGATAAAAAAACTGATTTGAGAGTCGAATAAATATTATATAAGTTAATAGAAAAAATTGAAAAAATGTCAATGCTGTCGTACGTATATACGGTACCCACGAATATATCGAATTTGTTTTAAAAAAGAAAAGTATTTGCTTTCTCGATGGAGAACAAAGTTTGAGAAAAAATTCTGTTATTCACATCATTTTTTTATTGAAAATATTGTACTATTTTTGAGAATTATAAAAAAAATATCGGAATCATTGGCAAACAATTGCATGTCAAAATCTGTGTGTATAAAATTAAACGAACAGGAAATAAAATACAAACGGTACTCATCGATCGGCAAAAAACATTACCTTTTGTTCTGTCATCAGGACGATCTCGAGAACGCGTAGCGATCGGGAAGTCCGAGTCGAGCTTGACACATGTTTTTACAACTTTGTCTAGTATTTAGTGGGGAAGTCTTTGAACTCTCCAGCCTGTTGAGAGTCAAAGGGCGAAGTGGTGGTGGTCTTCCGCTTTTTGGTAATCCGCGGCGTTTTGACCTTATTGTGCGTTAGCGCATGCTTCTTCATATGATCGTTACGAATAAATCCCTTACTGCACGTACTGCATTTGAATGGCCTTTCAGTTTTGTGAGTGTACACATGTCGCTTGAGATCGGTTTTATGGGCGAATCTTTTAGGGCATATATCGCAACCATATTTCTTCTCTTTTTCGTGTACCCCCACGTGTTTATCGTGTGATTCCTTATCTGCATACCTCTTGCCGCATTTGGCGCATTTGAACGGCTTCTCGCCTGAGTGGGAGCTCTTGTTATGCTGCGTGAGATAGCAACTTTTCCCGAAATACTTGTCGCAGTGAACGCACTTGTGGACGCCGTCCAGCGAAATATATTTTGCTTCAGGTGTGGTAACTTCCTTGCTCGGAAGCTTCCTCTTGCGTCCTCTTTTAGGTTGCACGTTAATATTCGGGTCTATATTCTCTTTCTGCTCCAGCTGTAATAAGTGATTATTATTTTGTTCGAAAGGGTGCTCAAATGGATAGGAGAACGCAGATTGTTCGATGTTTGTCACCACATTGGGCGATAAATGCAACTTGTTCGATGAATCATAGCTAATAGTTGATGTATCATAGCTAATAGTTGAAGAAGATTCAATAGATTCTTGAGGAGTAAAGGCCTCCAAGGCTAGCCCCCCCACGTTGGTAATGACTTGTAAATTATCGTTTATTAACCCTACCACTGGAGTGTAATTTGTCTTGTGATCGAAGATAGTAAAACTGGGCAACACATTCAACTGTTGTTGCTCGTTTTGCGCGTTACCAACCATAGAAGTTGGTAGTTGCAGAGTAGGGCGTTGGGTAGGCTCCAGTAGAACCGGGTGGGTAATAATTGTAACGTGGGGGGGCAAAGCGTTTGGGTACGGCTGATGCGGCATCGTAGTATCCCTCATCGCCGTGGGTGAAGTCATTGCCGGATGGACCGAGCCTTGCAGCGAGTTCATGTGATGCTGGTGGGATGAATCCATTGGCGAAGGACAATTCATGTGCAATGCCGCCTGTGGAGGTATGGGTGAACTCGTGGTATGATGCACCGACTGGCCCGGCGAATCCGTTCGCAGGTGAAGTTGCCGCTGTTGCTGGAGGCCCAGTTGGTGAGGCGCAGAACCCATTGGTTGCTGATGATGTCCCGCCAGCGATGATGGAACCGGAGAAGTGACTGGCATTACTCCCGGGTGCATCAGATGGACCACCGGTTGTTGCACTAGAACCGGTGCCGAAGAGTTGTTGCTGCTGCAGTGCGTGGTGGGCGTGTGAAGCAGGCCCCTCGTCGCCTCGGCCGAGGGACCTGCCATCAAGTTTGGGGGACTCCTGGAAGATGGTAAGTCCGGCGTAGATCGTGCGGGCGCGCCGCCGCCCCTGCTCGAATTATTACTATTCTCTCTAGTGGGATGATGATGATTGCTAATCGGTAAAGTCGCTGGATCAGGCTCCTTGCCATTTTTAACAGCGTTTTTATGCAGCGTTGTGTTATAGTGTCTCTTGAGATGGCCCGAGCTTGTAAACCACTTGTTGCATGCGGTGCAGTTGTAGGTCTTTGGTCGGCGCGCCTCGTTGCTTTTCCAGGATTGGTTCGCCAACGGTGGCGCTTGCGACGATTGTTGAGCTAAGCCAGCTCGCATCTGATGACCTGTCATTGGTTGCGTGCTCGTTATTATCGGTGAATTTTGATGTCCGTGTTCCACGGGCATATGTTGACTGCGCATGAACTGACCCTGATCAGGTATCGATGGAGGAACATTGTCTACGGGACCCATAGACCCAAGCCCGGGGTGATAATCATGGGATTGGGTGGGCAGCCAATGGTTGCCCAGCATAGAACTCACCGAATGCGATCCTATTCTATGCTGCTGATGCTGTTGATGCGGTATCAATCGCTGTTGAATCTGCATCTGAAGTCCCTGCTGCTGATGTTGTTGCTGCTGCTGCTGCTGCTGCTGCATCCTTAGGTACTCTTCCTCGAATCGATGCGTTTGCACTTTATGAGAATCCAAGTCGAGGATCTCAGCCTGCTCTTCAGGCTCCTGTTTCATGTCCATTTTGTTTGTTTGTCCACCATTGTAATCGTAACCAGGTTGTTGTTGCGGTTGATTGGGAAGAGGTGGCGATGGATGCAATTGCTGAGGACTGTGGCCCAGGTGTGACCCATACTGTGGCGCAGGTGGATAGGCAGAAGGTGATTCTAAATGATTCGTTCTCATGTGCTCACCTAATTGATTCGTGTCCTCAAAAACGGCGCCGCATTTGTCGCATTGAAGCGGCGGACTATGCGGGCTAGTAGAATTGGACGTCGTGCGATCTGCAGAGTAAATCTGCGGATGCTGATATAAATGATAACGCGGGTAAGTGTCGTTACTGTCGCGATTGTTCTGAGCATCTTCCTGTGACGGCGAAAAGTGATGAGGTATCATATAAGACTGCTCGTTTATATAATAGCTGCTTTCGTTAAACATTGGTGGAAAATGATCGTATGGCGGTATAAGCTGTATAGCAGACTGCTGCTGCTGAGGTTGTTGCTGCTGCTGCTGCTGCTGCTGTGGTTGCTGCTGCTGCAAAGATATTGAATCTTGAGAAGGTGACATTGTTGACGGTTCACTCGAATCTGCCAATATAGTTACACTATCTCGATTTACATTAACGTGACTATTATGATTGCCAGTCTTGCTATGATTATTATTGCTCTCTTCCTGTTGCGCCTTATTAGCCCACTGATTTAACAAGTTATTCTTATCATGATATTGCAGGTGCACCTTCAGACTCGCCTCGCTATCAAAGTTGACATTACACTCCTTGCAGTGATGCCTCGCATTCGAATTGTCACCTACGTATTGTTGATGTTGTTGCTGCGTCTCGACAACACTCGTCATTTCACTCATATTGTCCTCTTTCTTCTCAGCCGTCACGCGTTTCAGTCGTCGTCTACACGCGCCCGCGCGACGTACGTTATCGAACAGTAATTTGTACACAACACGAACAGAATAAATCTAGCCGGCACACACACATGAGCGCCTATTACACGCGCCTGAGCGCGCGCGCAACTATAACGAGGCGATCCTTCTCCCTTTCTTTCTAGTCTGTTGTTTCACTAAGTCGCCTTTTGTGATAGTATCCTGCGACGCAGCAGAACCTCATATGACGTAGCACGCGAAATAACACAGGAACGCGATCGGACGCGATCGTACGTGGAACAAGCGCAAAACTGTCGGTTGGACATCGCAACGAAGCTTGTGCGAAGATACACTAGTTCGGTGGGAGGAACAATGTAATCTAATCGTATCGATAGAAGGGAAGGAAGAGAGAGAGAGGTTCGAAATTAAAAAGAGAGAGAAAACAGGAGAAAATAAAAAGAAATCGGGGTTACAACGTGTTCTACATTTATCATATGATCGCGCCGATTCCGTACGTGAATTTCCAGTTCAATGTCGCCCGATAAATCACAGTCACCGCATGCAGCATTGTCGGTCTCGGTTCGACGCCGTGTCGACAACGACGACAGCGGAACAATACAATCACTTGCCGGCTCCTCGATGAAAACTGAGGATACGATTCGCGATAATGAACGTCGGACGATACCGATTAAGGGGTTAACAAAACGAAACAAAAACAGATGCGCGTATCGCGCATGATTCACATGTGGTCGGCGCCCGATAATGTTGGCGATTACCGTCTCTCTAGCGAAGCCTCTCTCTGGCTGACCGACACATCAGAATTTTTCAGAACTGATATCCCAAAACTCGATAATCATCACTTTGAAACTTTCGCGAATGTCGCGTGCGCAAAAAAAAAGATTCTGTTCATTCCAACATTGTAGAGTGTCTATCCTTCGCGCTTTTTCTGTACGCGAGATCAATCGTGAGTGTCTCGAGAGTCGATCACCTAACGTCACGTATCTCTGCTACCGCGAGAGCAACGGAACTGAACACAATGAGACGCAACCACCTCAGCCTCGCGTCACCCTTCCGTCGAACTTCCCCTCTACCTTTTTCTCTCCCTCTCACTCTCACTTTGAAGATTACACTCGCTCACTATACAATTGTATACAACCGTATCGTACGAACGCCGACAGTACTCTGGCTGAAATTCGTAGTCTGTCCTCGGACTCGCGGCAAGGCACCATCTCTCCTCCCTCCCTCGCCATGTCCCGCCCTTCCTCACCACTTCCTTCGCCAATCCTCGCCGTCCCCTCTCTTCTCGTCACTTGCCGACTCTTTGGAATCCCTCTCTCTTTCTATTTGTCTTTCTCCCTCAGATTTCAGCGCGCTTCCCCTCGTTCTCTATAACCGTCTCTGTTTATCTCGCGTACACCGTTCCCTCGCGTTCCCTTAGCTGGAAGAACTCTTACCCTCTCTCTCTTTCTTCCTCGCGCTTCAATTTCTTCCTTCCTTCTCGTTCAAACGCTTGACCGAGAGAGAAACATGGAAATGCCTTGCCCCTCTCACTGCTTCTCTCTCGCTCTTTCTTGTCTGCTTGCTTACTCCCGTTTCTCCTGCGTAGCAACCCCACTTCGACTATAGTCGATCTCCTCTGATTCCCTGCCCCTGAACTGAAGAGGGATAGGCACGCACGACAGAACGGTGGAGAGCGACGGCCAACCAAATTTGAGGACTTCCTTGCCCTTCCTGGCTTTCGTCCTCCCTCCTCCCCCCGCTCGATCTAACGAGTGTTTTGGTCGTCTTCCTTCGGGTTTGGTCGTCTCTCTTTCATTCGTTTCCAATACAGCTTCGAATTCTCCAAGACGCTGGTTGTTTTATCTTTCCGTCTTAGTTCTCTTTTTTTCGATCTTCGATGCGTTTCTTTTTTTTCAATTACGACACCCGCTATCACGTCTCTCCCGATTCTCTATGTCTAAAGAGAGAGAGACACGATGAAGATGTGTGCATGATATGAGAATCCTTGTTTGTTGCACGCCCGCTATCTGCCGATATCGTTTTTACACAGCGAGAGTTTTTGAGAGGTAAGTCTATCGAATTTGAAAAAAATATTTCGTATTGTATATCTGTCATCCCGGCAAAATAATTTTTTTTTTTTTTTTTTATTATGCACGAAACAAATTTCTCCCTCGTGAAAATAATTATTGAAAAATAATTCTGTATTTATCTTTGCAAAGAAAAAATAATTCTCTGACAAACTGTTCCTTTAAATATAATATTTTCATTTTCAAATTATATCAAAGATGAAAATATGAATCAGTATCGATACATGAAAAATCTCATCGAAGAAATAAATGTAATTCTTGCGGCATTTAACCCGGTGTTAGGGATCGTCGCGCGAATCGTTCCATTTTCGCCAAAAAAAAAATCCCCTCGGTTGAATCCTCGAACTGCTCGAAGATCACCTAATTCCGCCGAGTAATAAACGTAACTCTCAGCAATTCGCCTAACTTTTTATTAGACCGAGTCATGAGGCTCTCTTTCGTTAGGTGTCCGCGTAAAAAGTGAACGAGGGTATTATCCGACGGTATCTAAACTCTTTTTTTCACCCTTTCCTCCCTCTCGTTCGCAGAACGACCCGATGGAATAAAAAGAAAAAAATGTGGGTAACCTTGCATTTTTTTTTTACGATTACCTTTTTTTCGCCACACGCGAACCCGGCTTCTCGGCCCGCGTGCACTTTGCATACGGAATGCGACACGTCCCTATATCCCTGCCCTCTTGTGTCCGACACCAGTCGCATCCACCACCATTGCCGCTAACCCTTTATGAACCTCCAACTATGAATATGTTTATTGTGCATTGCGCGACGGCCACCTGATGCAGGGGAGAGAACTTTGCCGCGTGTGTGGGCGGATGCACGTGTTCGTAACCAGTAAATAAATGATCGGTATTAAAATCAGATAGCGTGAGGAATTAATCCTCGAGTTAGGATCGAGAATATACCGCGATAAGCAATTCACTGAGGTTTCAGGTCTTGCATTTTGCTGATTTGCATACAAAACTAGTAAAAAGAATATTATAATTATATATAATATATATTATATTATCTAAAGTGAATAATATATACATTTCAATGTGTTTGTTAATTTTAGCAAAGCGATTTAATACAGGGTGTCCGGTAACTAACGGACCAACGATTAAAAATGAATTCTTTGGTCAATTTGGGAACGATTTTTTCTCAGCGAAAATGTCGAAAAAGATCATCATTTTTTACAACTTTCCAATATTTGTTATTATGTATCTTTATAACTAAACCTCAAATTAAAATTTTATTGATAATAATCCTTAAGGTTCGCCAGTAATAATTAATAAAAATCTTTCCTCATAATAGTAAAAGTCGACCAAAACTGGCAACTTTTGCTTTGAGGAAAGATAAAATTTTATTATAGTAAACTCTACCTGAAATCAACTGAAGAATGTAATTATGTTAGACTTTTAACTCCAAAACGTTTAGTTTTCAAAAAACCCATTTTTTTCAATCGCTTATAACTCGAAAATTATTGACTTCTCAACATTTTTGCTAAGAAAAAATCGTCCCCAAATTGGCCAGAGAATCCGCCCTTAATCATTGGTCCGTTAGTTACCGGACACCCTGTATATATCATAGTTAAAAGTTTTGCACAAAAATTCATTCAAAGCTTCGTGGACTAATTGCAATTCCCAATTTATTAATAATTCCTTGAAACTTAAAGTATACTCGGTTAAATGTCAAAAGAACAATAAGTCCGAAACGAGCGGAAAAACTCGAGAGCGAGAAACGAAACGCAATAATTCCGCAGCATTCTATGGTTAAGTCTACCTCTTCCTTCAATAGTTCGGTTAATTACGAGATTTTCAATTCCCTAATCGAATCACTAGCTTCCGCGTTTCCTTCTTTCTTTCTTTACTTCACAATTTTCATTTACCGGCACGTCTCGAAATACGGCGAAAAGGCCGTCGGTTAGCGCGGCCAGGGTAGATTGAATCAGCCTAAGCAATAGCCACCCTTCTATTCCTCTCTCTCTCTCCCCGGATCCGACGGCTTCCTTCTTCGTCTTCGCTCGGCATTTTCGAAGTGGACGCCGAGCTGACCGAGCCACTATCGGCTAGATATTCGCTGGCGTGGCGTTTGCGCCCCATTTTATTAAGGAAATCCCACCCTAATCCAACCTCTCCCGCGATCCCTCGTGTCACCAAGTCCTACGGTGCGAAGAAAATGCGGGAGAGGAACTACTAGTCTTCTTCTCGTAACACGTGCGACGACGTGTGCTTTTTCGTTCTTTTCCCTCGTTCTCTCTCTCTTTCTCGTAACAGACGGAATTGTTTTTCCCGAGCATTTTTCTTTGCGGATACAAGAAACGAGAGGGACGGACAAATCCATGAATGCGTGACGCATATCGATGAGAAAACGAGACGTGTAACGAGAATTTGACTGATTAGAAAAGTAAAGTATTAGATGGGATTCATCGATCGTGTAAATTGAGATAAATTATATCTGATTTATCAATTTACAGAACTGTTTCAATCGAGATAGACAGGGTGTTCCAGAACTGGCGGCAAAGTGTTTAATGGCAAATTTCTGGAATTATTTGGAGACGATTTTTCTCTAGTGAAAATGTTGAGAGTAATATATTGATTATAATTTAAATATGTAAAGTTCTATCTCATTCATAGGTTTATCATATTTATCTATATTATTTATTTTTTAATCGATATATTATTGAAAAGTTTATCAAATTGAATAAATTTTTGAATAATATATTCATTAGAATTTAAATATGTAAATTTCTATCTCATTCATAGGTTTATCATATTTATCTATATGTATAATAAAACTGTCATTATTTTTAGCGTGTTTTCAATTTTTGTATCTTTATAACTAAATCTTATATTAAAATTTTATTAAAGCAAACTCTATCTATAAAATTAATTGAAGGATATATTTTCAATTGCTTATAATTCAAAAATTATTTGGTGTCTCGACATTTTCGCTGAGGAAAAATCGTCTCCGAATGATACCAGGAATCTGTCATTAAAAACTTTTCCGTCAGTTCTGGGAAACCCTGTATAATATCGAAAATCGCTGAATTGTCAGAAAGGTCTGATATTAAACTGAAAGAAAAACCTGGTAGATGATTTATGAAATAATTATTCTTAAACTACTAATCAGAAATTTTGATATTTAAGCGTAACATTCTTCCATTTGTTGTAGATGAAAAAATCTATAATTGCACATACGAGAGAATTATTGCTTAATTGATATTAGCGAGATTGCAATTAACGTCGTCGACCTAACGTAGCATAAATTTTATTACGATCAAACGTGTCATTAGCGAGAATAATGACGCAAAAAGACGTAGGAGTGAAACGTTTAGCGGGAAAAAATTTCTTTTACATGACGTGCTTCGCAAACCGCAGTTCGCGAAAGAACGCGAAAGATCCACCGAAAAGAGTAACGCTAAGAGTCATAAAAATATTCCGCGAGTTCGGCAAAGTGACAGGGAGAGAGAGAAACGATTCTATATTCCGGGAGCGTCATTAAAGGAAATTATAACAAAGTGGTTCCTCTCTCGGCGACGTCGGGACTGTCATTTGGCAGCGCGGACGAGAGTTCACAGAAACGAGGTGGCGGTCGGCTGACTGGGTTGAAGAAGAACGAATATATAGGAAAAGAGAAGGGCTGAGTCAGAGAGTTCGCGCGGAAAACGAATTGAAATTTTAATCGCCCACCCTCTGCCACCCCATCGCGTTAAATGCGTCCGATGCCAACTCTAACCCAGCCAGCCTCCCCTGCGATGCGACCCTTCGCTAACCTCTCTGTCCTTCTTTTTCTTTCTTTCTCTTCTTTTTTTTTCTCCCCTTTTTTGCTTCTCCTCTCAGAGAGCAAACTAAATGCTTTTACGCGCGTCGCTATTATGTTCCGCCGATGTCCCACCCTCGTTTTCAAGCTCGTGTTTATTCTTCACCCGATGCCGGACATTTTTCTCGTCAGCGTTCCCCGAACAGACTGTATAACACGTTAATCAGGTGCAACTCCTCCGTGCGTTCAATTTGAAATTTAATATCTAATCAAAGTTTCTTTGTATATTAAACGTCGCTTGGAATTTGTCAGAATGTTTGAGATAATTTACTAAAAATATAAAA